GTTTGATGGGAATCAAATTAACTTTAATTCGTGTGTGCACGGATTAGTGGTATTGTGTGACAGTACTTTATGCCCAGATCGCTTACAGAACCGTGTCCAGTGCATTAGGATGAATGAATGGGACAAGGTGAGTGCGCACTGCAGTCTGAAATGAGCGGGCTAAACACAATTCAAACTAAGTGGATATATACCATCTATCGCACCAATTTACCATGAATGTTTCTATTGTTAACCATGCAGTAGACTTCTCCCTTCGGAGCGGAAGGGAGGCAATCTGTAGTCCACTTTATTTTTCGTATCCAAAAACTGAAAATGTATGTCAAACTTGCATTTCGAGTGCATGTTCTCTGTTTCTCGAAATCGATCAATCCAAGTTTAATCCTTTACTGTAAAAGGAGCTCTGTTTTTTTTCATTTACTTACAGCTCCACGTTGTATAAATATCGCTGTGGGATTTCCTCTAGTTTGATATGTCTCAACTGGTTTAGCTCACAGTGCGATCTGAGCGTTCCTCTAGTTACCAATCCCTGCTGTGTCAGACCACCGATGATGTTGATGATAGTGATGAGCCAGTTTTCCAGAGAATGGCACTGAATAAACCCTGTTCTAATAAGTATATGTCATTGGCACACACAATATGCAACAGACGCATCATGGGAGTCCTGGGTATCAACTAAACATGCCAATTTTATTATGTCAGATTTCAACCACCTGGTGACGGCGACGTTTGTCATTCACATAAGTGGCGTGACTGGTAAATGGACAACCTGTTGTGTGCGACTCTTCTCTTCGGGACTGAAACTGTCAACATGATAAATGTACGCACTGGATTGCGCACACATACACACACACTACTCGCGCAAACTCATCCTAGTGCGATGGTTTGTGTACACAGAAATCGACTTACGCCTCCATGTTTGCACAATCCTCACCGAATTTGTCAATGTGTGTGTGCGTATAACGCGCGCGCACACACACACGCACGAGTGTCCCGTGACCACCTCAGTTTTGTGGCTCATCTGATCACACATCGCGTCGAGTCTGCACGCCCGATCTGGTTTGGCTATCTCCTGCTGTTAACCGTTTCCGTTTTCTCAGTGAACTG